ATATATATAATCTTAATATTCCTTATAAAGTCAAGGTTCAATCAAGCTCTACTTGCTGATCTTTCTATGTGTGAATACAGAGGAATTCCACTTTACTTTACATTAATGTAGTTAATTCCAGCATAATTTAAAAAAAAACTATTAAATTGTCTTCATCTCTCAAAACAATAATTCAGTTTCTTTAATTTTTATGCACAACTTGAATTTTTAAATAAAAGGCCAGTGAATCAAAACTTTCATACTATACTATCATTTAGCCTAGCTTTGTGCAAAATACAAAAAAGCTGTGTTGCTGCACATCTCACGTATCTGCTGGCTAAAGAGATCTTCCTTCATTACTGGCAGGAATTCACTCTGCTGAAGTGGCAGTTCACTGAATCACTGAATGTTCTGTGTCTCATCAGTGTCTCACTGGGTCACATTTGCCTTTACAGATAATTGCACTGGTTGCCAGTCGCTTTTAGGTTAAAGTGTAAGCTTCTTCTTTTAACCTTTAAAGTGATACATGGACTAGCAGCCACATATTTGACCAGTTCAGTCTCTTATTATACTGCACTTTGAAGCTTGTGCTCTACATCCGCTGATCTTTTTGTGGTGTCAGATGCTAGATTACTGACTGTGGGTGATAGAGCATTTACCAGTGGGCTTTGGAGCAAGCTCCTAAACAATCTAAGGACAATGAGCTCAACTGAATCTTTTGCTTTTTATTTTATTAATTAATATTTTATTTTTACTGTCATTTTGATATTTCATTGAAAATTATATTATTATGTATCATTTAATATAATTTTGAAGATATGTCATTGTTGTTATTAACTTATACTGATGATATTTTATTTTTGTTTTTATTTTATACTTTTTCTATTATTATTTGGTTCTATATTACTGTAAAGCAACCTTGGTTGTTTTGAAAGGTGCTCTGAAATAAAATGTATTATTATTATTATTATACATCATGGCTAAAAGTGTGAATGGAAAATATAATTGCAATTTTGTTCATGGCCGTACATACAGACCTATATAGCAAAACTCAACAAAAATTTCCGTAATCTTCATAAAGGAAATATCTGTGACAACAGAGCACTGGACTGCACTACACTGTACATTTATTTTTGTTACTGTGTTCACCCTGTGCACTTATCAGATAAAACACAAATTAACCATGAAGACGGATCCTATATGCAATATTGTGTTTGAGTGCAGTATGTCCTATAGTTCACTGCAGACTTGCGGTTATGCATGTTTATTAGCTGTCCCTGGGTTTTAGCCATGTGCTAGACAAGGTGAGTCAGGAAGAAAAAAAGAAGAAATAAAACAACCAAACATATATGGACTAATGGAAAGCAGACTTGCTGTCAGCCTAATAGATATATTTAGAGGTAATAAGTGAATCACTGTATGAGCTGTATTACTGACTATTCTTGGGATGTGACACAATGTACTCCTAAAAATAATATAGTGGCAATTTATTAGCCCAGATCATCTGTTGAAGTGTGGACAGCAAATCTATTTCTCTCTCCCACAAACACTGACAAACATATCAACACACAGCCATAGACACTTAGCCTAGACCTAGGCACACAAACACACAGTTTGGAATCCCAAGAGATGTCTCAAACTGTGCATCTGATGCAATAGTTAGCAACATCCCTGCAGGCTGCCACAGCCTTTACCTCTAGGATTCATCTGCATGGGCCCTATCAAACCAAGAGAGAATAGTGCAAAACCTCATCTGTGAATACAGCCAGCTAATTACCTGTAGCTAATAAGAAATTACAGTATATATTTCCTCAGTATAGTGTTCATACAAGTGTATTCTTCATTAATTCACTCTAAACAATGAAACAGCTCTGTAAATTCCGACTGAAGGCTGAACTGTTATTAAATATATTATTAAGGCAAGAGCCATGAAGTAGAAACTTTAGAAAGATAAAGGCGCCTTTGAGAACTTTCCGTATCAAGTCCATTTTTTTCATTTTCCTGAAACTTCTCACTTCTGCTTTCGACAACATCAGCCACGACTCTTTTAGAGCAATGTGGTGAGGCTGTCGAATTCAGAAATAACCTCCATGGTCAGTGTACATGTGTGAGAGCAATTGTTCACGTAGCCCTTCTTTATAGCTACAGTCTTATCTACATCTCAACAGAACACAGGTTACACCTTTACCCCTCACCAACCCCCGTCCTCTTATAGAACAATAAGGCCTCTGTCACACAAGTCACATACTGTAAGTATGACAAGGTGCTTGCAGTCCAGCAGTTGAAGACATGAAGTGCAGCCTACATATGGTGAATATTAAAGGTTAATTCTATTAAATAGGACAGATACTGGACAAGTAACTTTATTACATGGATGCAATATGCACATAACAGTAAAAGTACATGTTGTGAGTTAAAGTGGTTGCAAAAAAAAAAAAAAAAAAAAAAAAAAAAAAAAAAAAAAAAAAAAAAAAAAAAAAAAAGAAACAACATGGACAGCTGCCCATGTTCCCATGGCAAATAATGAAAGGTTAATTAAAATCAGAGTCTGGGGATTTGGAGCAAGAATAAAAAAAGAGAGGTCTATTGTGATGACCAGGGGTTAGTAGGTAAAGCAGTCACTGCTGCTGCAAATTCCTCAAATGTTTGCTGTAATGTAGACTACACTTTTAGTGGTCTCATTTTGAACAAGGACATTTTTGTCTTTTAGGACAAATGGTCACATTTAATTACATTTTTTTTCTTTCCATTCTTTCTTTAAATATTACTGTTATATTATTAGGCTATATTATGTACTACATCATCTCAGTTGATCTGTTTCTCTCAGTGTTCCATAGTAGACAACCACGTGGTGTAACCTTTTGAAAGGAGCTATTAATCCTTTAATCTTTTTAAGATTATACCATTCTACATCAGAGCATAAGAAGTAGGCCTAGGATAGTCTAAATGAGGACTGGCCGACTGTCATCGTTGCCAACTAAATAAGATCCAAAAAAGTCGAAGGATAAATTTAGCATATTTCAAGTTTGATTTCTCTGGGATATGCCTTAAGTGCTGTTAATAAACACTTGCGGAACTCTCACATTCCAAATGTTCTCACGTCCTGAGCTCTGCCTCTCCCAGGAACACGTCAGCACATTGTTTCCGAGGATCCCAGGGAAAAGGTGCATTGTTGTTGCGAACTTTTTAATCTGGGGATTTAAAGCACATCGCATGCTCAGACGAGGCAGCGGGGAGCTCCACCACCACAGCCAAACCACCGCTAAATCCATGTCGGGGAAGAAACCACTCAGCCTGAAAGGACAGACGACCTCTTATAGGCAGTGCAATGCCAGTGCACTTTGGGGGAATTTAGGCTCGTTGGGGAACTGTGTTTAAAAAGTCCGAGCGGGAGAGGGAGAGGGAAAGTTGTTTTTGTTTGCTCTGGGGAAACCGGACCGACCGAGATTTGGGATAAAGATGTCGCTTAAGTACAGCCAGCGTTCTCTAATTGTTCTGTGTTTACTGGGGATTCTGTCGGCCATCATGTCCGTTTTATCGGTCATTTTGATTTTCCAGCTGCAGTCTTACCGGAGGGCGGTGGAGGGAAAGCCTCCTTCCACCTCCTCGATCATACCCGCTCATGTCTGGGCCGTCCTGATGCCAGTCTCCGCCGTGTTCTCTGCGCTGGCCCTCACTCTCAATCTAAGCTCTGTGGTCGTGTGTCTCCTCCACAGTTATACTTCAACAGAGGTCTGCAGAGGGGAGCAGGATACGGAAAGGTAGGCTATTTAACCTGCCCTTCCACCTTCTGTTAGGAAACACCTGTAACTCCTGCAACAAGCAGTTACGGCGGCCACCGAAGATGCTGTTGATACTAACTGTAGTCCCGGTGACTTCTGGCAGGGTTTGAAGGACACATCCGTGACCGCACTGCAGTTAATTAAAATGTTAATGTGCACTATAATATATCATTAGGATAGGCGACCTTCAAAGCAAGATTATCCCGATTATCAGCAATAAAAGCCACCTGAAGAGTTTTGTCATTACAGCCTTATGTGGTCTTAATGTGACCTGTAGTCTACTTATGGTGGCTGATGTCAAACTTTAAATAGATGTTATATAACAGACATAACGTTGTCAGTTTGCTCCTGTGCTATATTTGCTCTATATTTTAACATTTACTACTACTCTGTAGGCCAAGTGTTACTTGTGCTCACAGTCGCTACTCTTTAGCCAAAGTTAGCTATATAATTGTATTCAAACTACTAATTAAATTCGATGGATAGAACCTCATACAATTCAACACAACAGCTCAGTAATAGATAATACCACTGCTGTGTAACTGTTTTAAATTCTTGTTAAAACAATGTCAAAGAGATAAGGCAACTCCATACATACTGATACTGGGGCAGAGCAAAACAACACATAGGATCCTGTTTTGTTTTTGTTTTTTTTGGTCAGTGACTTTAAGTGCAAAATAACATTTTAATCTGTTCATGGTGCACTTCTGATCATGCCCACATAATATTCTTTAATTGTTCGAAGTTTAATTCTTTTAAGTTTCATTAAAAGTAAACCTCGTTTCAAAAGTATAAAAGCCCTTGTGTGACAGAGTACAATGTTGGTTGGCACCCACTTCTCGACCCCTATGAATCCCATCTAAACAATGGACTTCCTCTCATTATGCACCCTGCACTTGGCCTCTGGCTGGCTCTTTCCCACATCAGTTTACAAATGCAACAGCACACACTAAGACCTCCCTACCAAGATGACATTCCAAGAAAACGTGAATAACAATGGGCGGCACTCAATATCTAGCATTTAAACATATACAAATAATAACTACTCAGCTGCTTTAGAAATTGTTTTTTTTTCTTTCCCAAAATAAAGTAACAATGTTAAAGTGCAAGCATTGCAATATGTGAGCCATGACACTGAACATATGACATCTGATTCAACAGAGCAGACTGGTTCCTTTTGGACAGCAGAGGTGTGCGACATGTGGCTATTGGACTGTTCTGTCTGGGGGTTTCAGTTTACTTAGCAGGTAAGAACAACAGGGAAAGAATGTGGTTTTTCTTTGTTCTGTTTTTTTTTTTTGTTTTGTTTTGTTTTTTTAATAGTCGGAATTCTCTTTAAGAACATTTTGTCCAACCTCACATGAAGGTATAGTTTAATTAAATCCTGAAATACAGGTTAGAACTGAACACCTGTTATTGCACACTAACATGCTTTTGTACGTTTCCCATGTGTTATACTTTGCATGCAGGGTGTGTTTTAGTCTTTAAACACAAACTTAAAAAGCCTGAAAACTAGTGTCCAAATTAATGGCATTGCAGTAGATTTTAAGCAGCACAGGCAACAGCACTGCTGCTTTCTTTCTTTCTCTGTTCAGCAAGTACAAGAGAATTTTCGATTTCGATTTGATTTATTCATTCAAGCATGTAAA